GGCCTCATTTCGGGAACACTCCTTGCCTGCCTCCACTCGCACATGACAGCTAACGTATCCCCGAGGGTGCCCTGTCCGTACCCATAGAGATACAGGTTAATTGTTTTCATGTGGATGGAGAGAGGGCTGTTGATTAACCCAGATTAACCTGAGCTAGTTAGAGGCTCTAGCCTAGAATGCCCTGCTCCCAGTAGCTGGTGAGATCGCATCTGGGGACCACACGTGTCAACCCGTGCTGCTCTGTTAGTGCGTTAAAGCCCAACTGAGTTACTTACCTGCGCCCCCCTCTACAGGAGACAGGTGGGGAGACTTCAGTAAGCTCTGCTCCAGAGAGAAAGCCCAGAGGAGCAGGGAGGCTAGCTTCTGGGTCCTCCTCTGAGGGCAGAGCTCACAGACTTCATCTCAACACCAGGCTTTTATTTCCTCGGGGACTCCACCATCTCTTAATCACAAAAGCAATAAGAATTTCCAATATGTTCCTCCGCCATGCCTAATCACCTGTTCTGGCTGTCAGTCACCAGCGTGTTTGGAGAGTCCCCTAAAAGCTCTCTTCCAGCCTTGAAAGCAGCACTAACCCCCGTGGTGACACGGGGCAATGAAGGCCACCCCCGTGGGCAGCCTGCGTGCACCAGCTGATTGGATCACAACAATTTTGTTAATATTGCTCTAGATTCTAGAGGGGTCACTTCCCTTCCTTACACTCTGATCGATAGTTGTGTGCCCCATTGGCTGAGTTCGAAAAATCATTTTGAGTGCGTATGGAAGGAAATGTTTCCTTTTGTAAACAACCTTACTATTGCGCTCTCACCTGGAGATTTCTTCTGGAGGTTAAAAAGTCACTTGGCAAAACATTATGTGTGAAGTCAGCAGATATTCAGCTTCAAACATTAAGAGAGACTGGGGCGCCTGGGTGGCACAGTCGGTTAAGCGTCTGACTTCAGCCAGGTCACGATCTCGCGGTCCGTGAGTTCGAGCCCCGCGTCAGGCTCTGGGCTGATGGCTCGGAGCCTGGAGCCTGTTTCCGATTCTGTGTCTCCCTCTCTCTCTGCCCCTCCCCCGTTCATGCTCTGTCTCTCTCTGTCCCAAAAATAAATAAACGTTGAGAAAAAAAAAAAAAAATTTAAGAGAGACCAGCACCTGCCTCGGGTGGAGTAGGGGCTGGAAAATTGGGAAGGAAGGGAGGGAGGGAGGGAGAGAGGAAGGAAGGCAGGAGGAAGGGAGGGAGGAATGAATGAAGGAGGGAGGGAGGAATGAACGAAGGAGGAAGGAGAGAAGGAAGGAGGGAAGGAAGCAAGGAAGGAAGGAAGGAAGGAAGGAAGGAAGGAAGTTCTTAGACTTTGCTAATATAGAAGCCTGGACATATGACTGACAGAGCTGGAAATTCCTAGAAGTCAGTGTAAGTAGGAGAGATACTACCTGTGCCACAGTGGCGATTACTGAGAAATGTGGATCTCTGGTAGAGGCCAAGGGCAATCCTACCCAAGTCACAGTTATCTCATTCCAGAGTTTTGTCCATTTTATCAGAAGGGTTCGTGACATGGGGCTGGGTGAATGTTGGTAAGCCGTGTTGTTTGTACTTCCTCTAAGTCTGTGGTCATTACAATGGTCACGGGAAGCATCCACAAGCAGCAGTCTTGCCCGGGACTACACACAAAGGGCTCTGTGTAGACACTGGACTAGAAGCTTCTACTAGGTTCCCTACCTCACCGGGAGAGATTTTGTCCCGTACTTCTCATCCCATCTGTTAGGCAACGGAGACAAGTCACAGGCTTCGGTTTGCTCACAGGGGATTTCTTACAACCAACGTAAGAAACTGTTCTGTATACTTTTAAATTCAGACTTCAAATCGAACCCTAAAGCACCCCTCTTTGTTATTCTCGTGGGGCCCCCAGCCAAAGGGTCCCTGCCTGTCTCAGTGCCATTCACCAGGGTTAGCAGCGGAAGAAAGGGCTATCCATATGTGTTTGACTGCTGGCCGGTCAACACAGCCTCCGCACAGCAGGAGGGCAGGTTTCTGAGTCTTCTGCCCTGTCTCGTGGACCTCTCACGCCCCACCACATAGCCTCCACCACTTATTCCTACTGGCAGACGCTGCTGTGGAAACCATTTGCACCAGGTAGAACTTAGAAGCACCTCCCCTCAACTGTACCCTGTGTCTCTGGCCTTCTGCCCACAGGCTTCTCGGATGCCCTGCTCTTGGGTATCTGGGAGAGCTTTAGCCACTCTGGAATACGTGCCTACTTGGAGATACGAGACAAGCCACACCCGAGAGCAGTCTATGACCAGCGATCAACAGGATTGGGCGGGTACATGTTTCTTTCTGTTCCTGTCCTGCTCCTTGAGCCCAAGAAGGACTCCATTGACATTGAGTTTGTGTTCGTATCTGTTTAGTCAAACAAGCATGAATGGTACTGTTGGAGATAGCTGGCCTCAAGGCCACCTTGTTCCCTAGTGTGTCCCAGGACCTGGCTCAGTGCGGCCACACATACATACTCCATCCGTACCTGTGGAATGATTGGCTGCGGAGAGAGGAATCAGAGGAACATAGGTAACTGCATTCAGAGCAAAAGTATTAAAATAGGTAGAGGATATTATAGTCAAAAGCACAGTGGCACAAGTTGCTGTGGTATATTTGAGGCCGGGCCAGTTGTCTGATTTGGCCAGAGCATAGGGCACATCATGGGACCGAAGGGAAGACAGTGCATTAAAGCACTTTGCACACCACTTGATGATCTCTCCTAGCGGCTCTCAGCATTTGGGTAGCACTGACATATAGAGACCTCTTCCCTTCGCTTAACCGCAGCCTCCTCAAGGTTAGGGACCCACATATAGTAGAATGGCTAGCATATAGTAGGCACGTAGGAAAAAATAATGGTTGGAGGATGGACAGGTGGATAGACGGATGGAGGAATGGCGAGACGGTTGGTCCTGGCTATTAGTTGAAGGAGAGGCCCTAACCGGACCTAACTTTTGGTGTGTGGCAGGCTGCAAACCATACTGAATTTCCCAACCTCTTTGATTGCAGCCAATGCAAAAATGTAGCTGATTCGGCTGACGTAGACCTCCGGGAAGCACCACATTTTTCTGTTTGCCGTAGAGTAGAGCATAGAGTGTGCGCACCAAGAGACCCTGCTGCCCATGGGGTTGGAAGCAGCAGGGGCCCTGCTTCCCTTGTGAGGAACACATACATACAGGAACACCTCCAGGGGATCGTAAGCGGTGGGCGCGTTCAGCAACTCCAGCAGAATAAATAGGAGAGCTCATGTTTCTACGCTAAGGCAGGAAAAAAATTAGCTGTGCTTCCACAGCGTCTCTGTGACCTCTTATTATTCCATTAGTTTTTGGAATAGTATATAAAACACCAAGCTCCGTGCTGACAAACACCAGCATTGAAACCGTTGCCACAGTCACTCCAAACAGCCTTCTCCCCTGGGTAAAATTATTATTTGGAATACAAGCAGAATTGTGGTTGCCCGAGTGAGCTGAGCACAAATGAGAGTAGTGATTCATAAGGTGACTCTAGCGAGTTTGCAAACGTGCAACTTTTCTGGAGGCTGACGCACCGTGAGTGCCTTTTTGAGCTACTAAGCACTTTCTAGTCTCACCACCTCTTCAGACTTGGGGGGCTGTGGAGGCAGCAGTTTTCTGAGGACAAGAGTTAACCTGACACAGTGCTGACTTTCCAGAAATAAACCCTTCCCATCAGATCACACCCTTGTCAGTAGCTTTTGAGCAGGAAGATGGTAATTCTGCTTCTTCACATGTTCCTTTAAGTGCTTGAACTCTCGTTCCATTGGGTTAAGCTTTGGGGGGCGGGGTCATCTGGGGTATTAATTCTAACCTGAAGAGGTTGGAGAAAAGTGGTCCTGGTCTAAAAGTATCGCTCCCTGAACTTTTAAACCCTCAAATCTCTTTGATTATGTGGCTGCTTCTTCTTAATCCTGAACCTGATTTCTTTTATTTTTTTTTTTTTAGATCCATTTATTCTTTGACATCAGTGGAGTAAGTTCAAAAAGAGCAGAGATGGGTAGAAAGCTCAGCATCGCTTTGTATAGAGAAGGAAGTTGAAGGGAGTCAGAGTAATGATGCTGGGTTGATTGCAGCATAATGAGATGTCTGCTGCGTAGGTCCCAGACACTGAGAGCCTCTCTGATAGCGATAGACTCTGAAAGTGACAAGCCCTGTCTCTTTTGTGACATTGTACCAATTAGCTGATCTAAACGGGCACGTATTTAAGTCTGAGGTCATGTACACTTCTCAGAGGCTAGGCTGCCCCTATGAATGAGGCCGCAACTCAGTCTCTGTGTCGTAATAGGGCAACAGTGGCGGGGGGAAAGCCAGAGCTGTGTCTGAGGCCCCTTTTCGTGTTTTGTGGTGCCGGGCATGGGCTCATCACTGGTGGGGACCAAGTGTGTCCATCCACCACACCATCAGGGAAATGCCCGGGGTCAGTCAGTCTCTGGGGTTAAGAGGGTAGCAGATCCTGCCCGGGGGCTACGACCAGGACAAGATATCCTATTACCCCTGATTCAGCAGGGACACAAGAGAGAGCCAGGCTGACCCACGGAGGCTCGCGGCAGCCTTGAGAAGAGGCAGGCGGCCTGTGTCCTGCCCCTTGTGGGTCAGCACACCAAGTGTTCTGTCCCCTGTCGTCCCCTGTGACTGAAAAGTGCTTGTACAGCGACCTTGTTGCAGATGCAGACATTACAGGATCGACCGACTTTATGGTGCCCACACTGGGAGCTGGCGGGAGGGCAGGGCACCGCTCAGGAGGCGAACCATGAACTTCAGGGCAGTTGCTCATGCGCTCCCCGGGCAGCAGGAAGGGCTCACCCGCCGGGGAGCCTGTTCCACCATGAAAACAGAAGCCGTGTAGATCCAGTGAGCCAGGAACTGTCCCCTTAACGCCACCGACAGGAGAGCAGGCCCCTAAAACACACTCGCGGTCAGCCTTCGGGGCTAAACACGCGCCGTCTGATGCTTGTTCTCCTTGATTGCAGCCTCCGTCTTCTCCAGCAGTCACTCGAGCCGAAGCGGAGCCCCGCACACTGTCGGTCACCCTTCTCCGGGACACAGCGTGCAGGGGAGCCCCCACCACCCCGCCCCCCAGCTACCCCCGCTCGCGGCCGTGGACACGGGAGCCGACAGGTAAGGCCAGCCGGCTCTCTTCTAGTAGGTGTCGCCGCTGAAGTCCGCCGCGCGGAGAAGCGCTGTGACAGTTGCTGAATTTTGTTGATCATCCATCGGTGGTGGGTTGAGTCCTCCAGAGGGGACGTGTCAAGAGTACACGTGCAAAAAGCACGTGGACCAAATAGCTCATTACCTGTCGTCTTTTCCGTGGGGGGGAAAACGAGAAGGCACTGAAGTGTCCGATGCTGGGAAAACGCATCCAAATTTCTGTCTCTCACACTGTCCTCAGTCTGTTTCGGGGGCTCCTCTTTAAGGCAGTGTCCCCACAGGCTGGAAAGCCTTCCAGGTGCAAGACGGTGCCTTGAGCCCGTAGATCGGTGACAGCTTTGAGAGTATAGGGTTAAAGGGCACAGGATTTTATGTGGGCGACCAGAAAAGGGCTTTTTACCGAAGATTCTGCGTTGATGCCATCCTCATAAAGAGTTTTGGGGACAGTTTTTAAAATCTTGATATTTCGGTCCGTCTGTGGCCCTCCGAACCCGCCAGTGGCGTGGACAGCACACGGTTCCTCTTGTTTTCCTCTCCACGTGTCAGCAGGCTCGAATTGACCTACGTGGGGGTTACTCCCAGACATCCACGGTAAAAAAAAGTTATTGTGGGGACCCCGGTGCTGTGGTCTTAGGCATTTGGGGGACTAATAACGGGTTGAATAGGCAGTGGGAGCAAAGGTTTTCAATCTTGGAAGTCTGGAATTTCACCAGCGATCTTTGGTTTCGTTGGTGTTGGCCTCGTCTATGAGTTTTTAGATGTGTGTTTTCAAGTTTGATAAACAGTATATTTTTTTACATACCTCTACTCTTCACTTAACGATACATCTCTGTTTCATAAACTTCTGTGGAATACTACATGTCGGACATTGTTCTGGGTGCTGGAGATGCCAAGATTATTAAAACATGATGCCGCCCTTAGGATTTAGTGGCGAGGACAGACGTATAATCCAAGTATGGTGATGCTCTTTGGATCAGTGACGTAGTAGAGATGCCACAGGAGCCTGAAGAGGAGGGCGTCCCTAATTCTGCCTCAGGTAGAGAGGGAAAGAAAGAGTGATCTAGGCATGGAAGGAAGAGTCACACTTCCCAGACGGATGAATGGGGAACAGCATCCAAGGCAGCCAGAGGAACACGTACGAGACGCGAGAGGGGCAAGGACACTCGTGGAAGGAGGTGCCCATGTGCTCAGGTGCCATCATCCACAGCGGACAGGACTGAAGAAGTCAGTTCAGAGTAGGTTGGCTCGTGTGGAGCTTTATATTTTATGGTAAGGGATTATTTACCTCTTACTGGAAGCGAAGAATCCCTCTAGCCTATCTCTGAGGGGAGAGACACATCAGATTGTCATTGTAGGGAAGGAACTCAGATGGCAGAGTAATTGAGGCTGGGTGCAGGGACAGGGGATGGGGAAAACAAGAAAGAGGCTGTTGCAGGAGTTCTCGTGAGTAAGATGAGAACTTGAACTAAGGTGAAGTGGTTAGGATGGAGAATTTATCCAAGGGCTGTTATTTAAGAGGAGAATCGCTAATTATTTATGTCTATATGGAGTAAAGAGGAAGGGCTGGATTCATTTGTGAGTTACACCTCTAGACATAGGTGGAAAAGTGTGTCATTAACAGCAGCAAAAGGGGTGTTCAGGAGAAGGGAGAGTGGGAGAGAAAGAATGATAATAAATGGGCTTTAGGGTTGGGGTTTTAGGCGGCTGTGTCTAGTAGTTAGAAATATAGATCGGAAGATGGTAGACTTCTTTTCGTTGTTCTGCATATGTGGTCAAGTGCAAACAGCTCCAAGCCTCCTCCTCCTCCAGGATCTATCAGCAGAACAGTACAAACGGTCACCAGCTCTTAAGTTCCTGGATACTGGGGACAGGTAGTCCTGCCAGTTTTCTGATGTATTGCTGAAGGTTGAGATGAGCTTATCCATTGCAGCATTTTATTAAGTTTCCAGTTGTTGTTGTTTTTTTAATTTACTATTTTTTTTTATTTTGAGAGAGAGAGAGAGAGAGAAATAGAGAGAGAGAGAGAGAGAGAGAGAGAGCATGAGCAGGGGAGGGACAAAGGGAGAAAGAGAGAATCCCAAGCAGGCTGCATACTCAGTACTGAGCCCAACACGGGACTTGATCCCACTACCACGAGATCATGATGTGAGCTGAAACCAAGAGTTGGACACTTAACCAACCAAGCCACCAGGCGCCCTTCCAGTTGGGTTTTAAGTGATGTAAGCCATGGGCTTCTCATCATCTCATTTCCTCCTGCCTGGTTGAGAATCTTAACTCCACAAGGTAGCACAGCTGAGAAGCCCATCTCTCGGGACCTCGTCTCCTTCGTCCCATCTTCTTATGAATACTCATGATGACTCTTTACAGGAATACAAGAGAAAAGCAATCTGTGTATCTTCTTCTTGTACACAGCCTAAAAAGAGTATATGTAGAAAAATATCTTCGCCATTATTGGAGTTAACAACAACCACCCAAATACCTGATGTTGGAAAGCCCAGCTCCAACGAAGGCTGTTGGAATGTGTTCCGTAGGTGCTCCTGCCGCTTGGCTTTGTTTGTTTTTAATATTTTATCTTGTTGCATAATTTTAATTTTTTTCAGTTCCCTCCTTTGAAAGTTGGTAACATATAAAAAACTGCCAGAATAGTACGGGTGAGCACCCATACGCCCTGCATCCATATTTACCCACTGTGAATATTTTTCCATCTTCTGTTTCTGTCTGTCTTATCTCTTTCTCTTTTTGCTTCCAGAGATCCTTTGTTTGTTTGCTTGCCTGTTGTTTCAGAAACCCTCCGAGAGATTGTTGTGAATATCATTGAGCTTTAACCCTAATTACTTCAGGAAAGCTCTCCTAAGAAGGACATTTCTCCTGCATAATCACAATGTAATTATCACACTTCAGAAAGTTAACATCAATAAAGCATTATCTAACATGCAGTCAATATGAAATTTCCTCGACTGTGTAAATAACGTTCTTTCTAGCTGGATTTTTTTTTTCTTTCCTTTCATCTTTTTTTTTTTTTTTCTGATCCAGGATTTTAGTAAGATCACAATTCTCATTTTTTTTTTGTCCTCTTGAATCTAATGAAGTTCCTCACCTTTTAGAAAGTTACCATCATCATCATCATCATTGTGCTTCATGACATTAGCAATTTATGAAGAGCTCAGCACATCTGTTTTGCAGAATGTTCCAGACTTGAGACTTGCCTGGTCTTTTCCTCCTCTACAGGCACCTTCCTCATCAGGACCACCTCTTAGGGAATGCGGTGTCCCTTCACTCTTTCGAGCCTTTGTCTGCGCTCCATGGGGAGTTAAGATGAAATGGACCACAGCATGTGACAGTGTCATGTGACATGGTGTGAAGACAGGCAACCTTGGCATCACTGAGATTGAGGTTTAGAAGCCAGAGGGTGTTGTTGAGTAATGACAGTAGTTGATGAGGTAGACCAGCGTGCGAGGGAGGAGGGAGAGGAAGGAGAAGGACACGACGGTCCTTTATATGGCTGAGCGATGAAGCCTTCTCACGTCTGTGGCTTTGCCATGCTGCTGTGTCCTTCCCACCAGATGTGTGCCCATTCCTTTGCCAACCCAACTGGACTGGGCAAGTGTATGAAAGGTTATCTCTTCCGATCGGGTTTTGGAGAGGAGGATAATGTGAAATAGCCCTGAATTATGCCCTGTGTTTGCATTAGTGTGCAGCATAAAAACACGAAGAGGAAATGTGCTTACCTTCCGCTTCTGGTTTATGTATCTTTGCCTCTGTTTGCCTGGGAAATCCCCCAGTAAAAACTCCAGCAGTTTTCTTAACGGAAATAGGTTTATCACACTTTGCGATTTTTAGTGGGAAACTGGCATTCTTTCCTGCTTCGCGGGCATTGATTCATCATTTACTTAGCTTTAACTTGTTAATAAAATGAGCTGAGTCACTGTCAGAAGTCAGGAACAGTCCACCGCGTCTATCCAGTTAGCATCAGCTTCTTTGATCCTTACCGTCGTAAAATAAAATAAACGCAAGTTCTCTCAATTTGACGAGTATCCATTTTTATTTCGAAATAGTATCTGGATGATACATCATTTCAGTGATTTAAGCAGTACCACACTACGTCACCGAATGTTGATTTAAGCATTATTAAGGGAAGGGGTGTTTGACTATGTCACGTTGAGCGAGCCAGTGGTACTTAATGACCGTGGCTTCCCATAAGAGGAACCCCGTGTCTTTGGAAAGGTCTATTCATACTGTTTCATAGTATGTCTGTTAGAGCAGAGGAAACAAACATATTGATGCAAATCCCTTCCTCAGACGGAGAAATCTTCACAGTCCCAAGAAAAGTCATCTGGATCTGTGTCACTCATCTTGTCCAACACAGCTGCCTCTCTCCATTCGGCAGAAGTGCCCAGACATGGCGTGCTCTGTAGTACAAGTGACAGAGCTTAAGGAGACCTGTGGATCGACCACATGGAGCGACTCCGATGAGCTCCGTCTCTGAACCAGGGAAGACCGAAAATAGAGAAACGATGTGGCCTCCTCTGGGAGTACACAATCCTAGTACAGGAATCCACAGCAGGGAATGTTAGGGACAGTTGTTTTTGAGGAGGTAGTCAAAATACCTTAACCAAAAAAAAAAGGAATATTGGTTTCTTGAGTCCATGTCAAGTATTGGGAAGCCATACTGTTTTTTATTCAAAGCAGATGTGACATTGCTCCAGTTCTAGGTATGTATATGTACAGTCTTTCCATGCCTTTGAGTAACCAGGACTGGTCTTCACTGATACCATTTTCTAAGCCAGCATCGGAAACCTGTTGTAGCTTTTCTGGATGCTAAGGGGTTAAGGACAGCAACTGTTTTCTGTGTATCTTCTTTGCAATTCTGTACAGTTCTGCTCCTGTCAAAACAGCCTGTTCACTGTCTTAGTTCGTTTGTTTCTACATCTTGTTTCAGGATCTTTTCTACCTAAAAAGACAATAAGGAC